CTTGTGAAGAAATTAATAAATTTGTAGTGTCTAAAAACACCAAGAAAGGCAAATACATATTTCTTTTTCAAGTGTTAATTTCTTCGCAAGAATTTTAGCTTGGTTTATATAAAGTAGTAATATATTTTCTTGAACATGAGTATATTTCTCATGATACTACATGAGAAAAGTGCTTATATTCGTCTCTTTCCCCTTTTTCTCTCCCTCTTCCCTCTAACACACATATTCATATTAGCCTTCTACAGTAAATAATTATAAAGCTACGGCAATAATTTGTTAGTTTTAAGCCAATCTATTAGACTCGCACTGGTCTCAAATACTTCTCTTTTACCTTCATATGAGAGGCTAAGTTTTAGTGGAAAAAGCCACTTGTATTTTATATTGTGATTTCTCAGAGATCTTGTGGCGAAACTAAATGCTTTTCTTTTTGTTCTGGTTTCAAACGATAAGTCCTGAAATACTTTAACTTTCTGGAAGGGACCATCAGAGAGTAGATTAGTTCTTGCAAATTTCAAAATGGTGTCTTTGAAGTCAGACGAATAGAAGCGTGCAATAATATCTCGAGGAGAATCATTTTGGATTACTTGTGGTTTAAATGTCCTATGACATCTTTCTATTATCAGGTCGGAAGATTTAAAGGGGACACCCAGTGTAGATAGATACTCCATCAAGATCTGTTTTACGTCCTCTTGTCTACCTTTTTCTGGAATGTCTCTAAAACGTAAATTTTTTCGCCTAGATCGGTCTTCTAAATCAGATATTTTATTTTGTAAATTTGAAATAGCCCGATGTGCCTTATCGCACTCTTCTGTTAGATTTTTAAGTTGATAATCTAGTTGGTTTAGATGGTCTTCAAATCTTTCCATTTTTGCAACAAGTGCATTTATTTCAGTTTTAATATCCGTTTTAATTTCTGCAGCGGTTGAAGCCAGTTCAGCTTTAATCTCATCTAAGTTAGCCTTAAGACTGGTATGTAGCAAGGAAATAGTTATTGATTCTTTATCAGGATTTCTTATATCGTCTGTCTCCAGATTTTCTGAACTTAGATCCATTTCATTTAATTTCTGTTTAGTGATCTTATGTTGCTGGGGAGAGAAGTAAGTTGTTAGTGATTTATCCTGAGATTTATCCTGAATGGAATCTTTTTTATCTTTCCTTGAAGAGGATTTAGTTTCATGGAGTTTTTTCGAAGCCATATTATGACTGTTTCAACACTATGGAAACGTCAGACCGCTGACAATTAGTCTTTATACGAGTCTTAGTTTTTTATAGATTCTCTCTAATTCGTTCCCTTTTTTTTTCCTTTCTCCTTTTTTTTTCCTTTTTCTTTTTTTTCCTTTTTCCTTCTTTTTTTAGCCTTTTTCTTTCTTTCTTTTTGTTTCTTTTATCTTTCTTTTTCCTTTCCTTTTTTTCTCTTCCCTTCTCCTTCCCCTTTTCTCTTTTCCTTTTACTTCTTTCCCTTTAGGTTTCTCTCTTTCCCCTTCTTTTTCACTTTCCTTTCCTTCCTTCTACTTCCGCTTTCCCTTTAAATTTGACTTTCTTTCTTTTTTTTGCTTTTATTCGGTTTTTTTAAATTTTTCTCCTTTCTCTTCCACCTTTATTCCACCTTTTTTCATCTCCTTCTCTTCTTATTTTTCTTTTTCATTTATCACCTTCCCCTTTTTCTTTATCTTTCTCTCTGGGTCCTTCTCTGTCTTTCTATTCTTTTCTTCTCCTTTCTTTTTAGTCTGCTCTTGGTTCTTTCTATTCAATATGTTATAATTAAATATTCTGTTTCTTTTAGTCTTCAGGCTTTTTTTGGACAGATTTAAGCGCCCAAATTATGTCTGGGTCTGTGATATCTCTTTGCTTTTCTTTACTTCTATCTTTTGGCTTCCTTTTTTCTCTTTCCCCCTCTGCTCCCTCTCTCCCCCCCTCTTCCCTCTCCCCTCTCCTCTCTTTCTCTTTTCTCTTAATTCTGCTTCTGTCTTTCTCCCATCTTCTGATTTCTTTATAGTTTCAATATATATATCAATATCCCCAGTTTTTCATTTGTATATATGTATAAGAAATATATTGTAATTGTCCTGAACAGAGACCACATATAGTTTAAATAACTCCAATTTGAGTTTAATCTCGCCAAATTTGCAGTGTAAGGTTATACTTACTGCCAAATATGAGCAGTCAATGTGAAAATTCGAGTTGCAAAATTTCAGAGTTTTCAGAGTGGAAAAAGGTTACTGCACCGTAATATTGCTGGCGTTTATATCAGCGCACACGTGGCTCTCTCCAGACAGCACCTCCAGAAACTTGCAGAGTAAAAAAGACTTTTTTTTTGTTTGTTTTTTGGAGTGGAGCGCTCGGAACACTGAGGGTACGGACTCTCGGTCAAGTAAAGTATTTTTCACCGTTAATATTGTGGTATAGTCGATCAAATTGTCGTTCAGATAGGGAGAGGTATATTATAGATAATCTTCGTTTACGCGGGAGAGAGAGGCATTCAGAAGCGGCTGCCGCGGGTGCCTCGGCAGTGCATGGCGGGTTCCCCCCCTACTCCGTCATCACGGTGTGCGTACGTCCGTACGTCCGCACGTCCACACGTCATAACGCCCCCTATAATTATTGTTATATATATATTTATATATAATATAAAAAAATTAAATATGTAAATACGTTAAAAAATAAAATTAAAAAAATAATTTTAAAAAATAATTAAAAATTATATAGATGTGTGTTATTTCGTTCTAACTGTATTGTGATATTAATATGTATATATATTTATATCAAAATACACGTAGAACGAAATAATATACAGAGAGTGCAGAATTATTAGGCAAGTTGTATTTTTGAGGATTAATTTTATTATTGAACAACAACCATGTTCTCAATGAACCCAAAAAACTCATTAATATCAAAGCTGAATATTTTTGGAAGTAGTTTTTAGTTTGTTTTTAGTTATAGCTATGTTAGGGGGATATCTGTGTGTGCAGGTGACTATTACTGTGCATAATTATTAGGCAACTTAACAAAAAACAAATATATACCCATTTCAATTATTTATTATTACTAGTGAAACCAATATAACATCTCAACATTCACAAATATACATTTCTGACATTCAAAAACAAAACAAAAACAAATCAGTGACCAATATAGCTACCTTTCTTTGCAAGGACACTCAAAAGCCTGCCATCCATGGATTCTGTCAGTGTTTTGATCTGTTCACCATCAACATTGCGTGCAGCAGCAACCACAGCCTCCCAGACACTGTTCAGAGAGGTGTACTGTTTTCCCTCCTTGTAAATCTCACATTTGATGATGGACCACAGGTTCTCAATGGGGTTCAGATCAGGTGAACAAGGAGGCCATGTCATTAGATTTTCTTCTTTTATACCCTTTCTTGCCAGCCACGCTGTGGAGTACTTGGACGCGTGTGATGGAGCATTGTCCTGCATGAAAATCATGTTTTTCTTGAAGGATGCAGACTTCTTCCTGTACCACTGCTTGAAGAAGGTGTCTTCCAGGAACTGGCAGTAGGACTGGGAGTTGAGCTTGACTCCATCCTCAACCCGAAAAGGCCCCACAAGCTCATCTTTGATGATACCAGCCCAAACCAGTACTCCACCTCCACCTTGCTGGCGTCTGAGTCGGACTGGAGCTCTCTGCCCTTTACCAATCCAGCCACGGGCCCATCCATCTGGCCCATCAAGACTCACTCTCATTTCATCAGTCCATAAAACCTTAGAAAAATCAGTCTTGAGATATTTCTTGGCCCAGTCTTGACGTTTCAGCTTGTGTGTCTTGTTCAGTGGTGGTCGTCTTTCAGCCTTTCTTACCTTGGCCATGTCTCTGAGTATTGCACACCTTGTGCTTTTGGGCACTCCAGTGATGTTGCAGCTCTGAAATATGGCCAAACTGGTGGCAAGTGGCATCGTGGCAGCTGCACGCTTGACTTTTCTCAGTTCATGGGCAGTTATTTTGCGCCTTGGTTTTTCCACACGCTTCTTGCGACCCTGTTGACTATTTTGAATGAAACGCTTGATTGTTCGATGATCACGCTTCAGAAGCTTTGCAATTTTAAGAGTGCTGCATCCCTCTGCAAGATATCTCACTATTTTTTACTTTTCTGAGCCTGTCAAGTCCTTCTTTTGACCCATTTTGCCAAAGGAAAGGAAGTTGCCTAATAATTATGCACACCTGATATAGGGTGTTGATGTCATTAGACCACACCCCTTCTCATTACAGAGATGCACATCACCTAATATGCTTAATTGGTAGTAGGCTTTTGAGCCTATACAGCTTGGAGTAAGACAACATGCATAAAGAGGATGATGTGGTCAAAATACTCATTTGCCTAATAATTCTGCACTCCCTGTATATATCTACATACATAAATATATATGTATATATCACTATATATATACCTATATATAAATAAAAATATTTAAAAAAAATTATATATACACATATGGATTCACATACATACATATATATATATATATATATATATATATATATATATAAACAAGAGGGGGTTGGCTGCACTCACCTTAACATGCATAAATGGGGGTGCTGCTGGGGGCCAAATAATACAATACACAAGATCCAGCGCACTCACCTATCCACTAAACAGCAAATTCAATGTTGAAAGATTTTATTTGTTTTTTTAAAAACACCTAATCTAGGCAAAAATAATGGGGGTTTAGTTACATTATATGATCATACATTGCATAAGCCTGCCACAACGTCAATGTACCCCATCTTTGGCAGGTCCTACACTAACAGCCTAATGTCTGCTCTTATGAGATTAACCTACTTGGGGAAAGAAATTCCATCTGGGGCTCTCTGCAGTACAAGGCTGAATAGGGCCCTGGGATGAGGCACCTGTGACAGGGAGGGGTGCAAAACCAAGGAGCTGGCTAGACTCCCAAATATATATAAAACAAGAGGGGGTTGGCTGCACTCACCTTAACATGCATAAATGGGGTGCTGCTGGGGGCCAAATAATACAATACACAAGATCCAGCGCACTCACCTATCCACTAAACAGCAACTTCAATGTTGAAAGATTTTATTTGTTTTTTTTAACCCCCATTATTTTTGCCTAGATTAGGTGTTTTTAAAAAAACAAACAAATAAAATCTTTCAACATTGAAGTTGCTGTTTAGTGGATAGGTGAGTGCGCTGGATCTTGTGTAATATATATATATATTAATTCTACATATATATTTATGTAATATTTTTACATAATTAGGTATTTTAATTAATTACAATTAGCGGGACCTGCCTGACAACCCATGCCGAAAGTAAAGGGAATTTAATTTGCTAGCACTATATTTAACCCTATAACTTTCCAAGACACTATAAAACCTGTACATGGGGGGTACTGTTCTACTCGGGAGACTTCGCTGAACACAAATATTAGTGTTTCAAAACAGTAAAATGTATTACAACTATGATATCGCCAGTAAAAGTGAAGTGTTCTGCATTTTTCACACACAAACAGCACTTACACGGACGATATTATTGCTGTGATACTTTTTACTGTTTTGAAACACAAATATTTGTGTTCAGCGAAGTCTCCCGAGTACAACAGTACCCCTCATGTACAGGTTTTATGGTGTTTTCAAAAGTTACAGCGCCAAATATAAGGCTTGCGTTTCATTTTTTCACATTAAAATTCGCCAGATTGGTTACGTTGCCTTTGAGACCCTATGGTAGCCCAAGAATGAAAATTACCCCTATGATGGCATACCATTTGCAATAGTAGACAACCCAAGGTATTGCAAACGGGGTATGTCCCGTCTCTTTTAGTAGCCACTTAGTCACAAACACTGTCCAAAATTGGCGTTTTTTGCATTTTTCACACACAAACAAATACTAACGCTAACTTTGGCCAGTGTTTGTGACCAAATGGCTACTAAAAAAGACTGGACATACCCCATTTACAATACCTTGGGTTGTCTACTATTGCAAATGGTATGCCATTATTGGTGTAAATTTCATTCCTGGGCTTCTATAAAGTCCCAAAGGCAACATAACCAATCTGGCAAATTTCAATTTCAAATGTAACGTGCTATTTTTGACCCTGTAACTTCCCAAAACGCCATAAAACCTGTACATAGGGGGTACTGTCTTACACGTGAGACTTTAATGAATACAAATATGTGTATTTTATTGCAGTAAAAGCAAACAGTATTATGACATTGACCGTTAAAATGTCATCTAGAACTAAAAAAAAAATTTTAAAATCTTATTTTCTCCAATTTATTTCATATTAAATTATGTTTCATAGCTAAATATTTGATATTAAATGAAAGCCCTGTTTCCCCTGAATAAAATGATATATAATAAGTGTGGGTGCATTTAATATGAAAGAGGTGAATTACGGTTGGACAGACATGTAGCGCAAATGCCAGGTTTTGTTTACATTTTGTTTCGTTCACAACGTGTACATTTGGCTCAGTCCTTAAGGGGTTAAGAATTCACGGAAGCTACAGCAAGTATTTGGCGCCATCATGTGGTTATTTTTTAGAACTGTATATTGAATTGTGGGCTGATAGTCCATCAGCCCTTTATTTTCAGTATTTGAGTGCCATCTAGTGGCCAAAAAGGTAGATAAAAATACCACATTTTCCCCATTTCCACTGGTAGTATATATGTAAAGGTGCAACTTTTTTTAACTTTGATTTGTGTCTGTGCAGGGATTAAAGTTTCAAACACTGTCTAACCCGAGATGCTTGTACATGTCTGTAGTATCCTGTCATAAAGGTAGGGTTGAGCTTCTCATTTTTGTTTACATATACTTCATTTAAAGAAATATTAATAATCTGGAGCATGATCATTGAGCCACAGCAGTCAGTAACAAATTGTATACCCTGCAGGAACACCGTGCTGTGACCTAGATGGCATTGGGACCCAAATGAAATGATAAATCGGTGTAAAAATAGTAGTTAATAGCGTGTATGACTTAAAGGCAAAGTTTAAATTAAGTATTCAGTGTGCTATTTATTGTAAGGACGCCCTTCATGGTTCATTTTACATCACCATAGAATAAAAATTAAATTATAGAAACAAGTGCTGCTCAAACTAAATAATGAAACTGGCTAATCCAGCCTTTCATGTGGACATTAAACAGGAAACAACCAATGTGGATATAAAGGATGCTTTGAAACTCACGTCTCTGGATCCCGTTTAACACTCAAACGCCACCCCTTAATTACTGTGAACTCCACCTGTGTGTCTACCTCAGTCCGAGCCTCCTTTTCTTTTCCCCAAACTGCTTAACCACCATATAAAACTAAAATTGCGTCCTCACAAACACACATTACTACTGGCTCACACACAATTAGACGATTACTTGCAAATACATGGATAGATACAAATACAAGCACATAATACATACAGTGATGTAGGTATATTTTAGGCTGCCCTAAACTTAGTTGAATCTATTGTCCCCTCCCCAGTTAAAGGACCACTATAGGCACTCAGACGCCAGACCACTTCAGCTTAATGAAGTGGTCTGGGTGCCAGGTCCATTTAGGATTAACCCTTTCTGCTGTGAACATAGCAGTTTTTTCAGAGAAACTGCAATGTGACCCCTATGGGTTAATCCAGCCTCTAGTGGCTGTCTCATTGACAGCCGCTAGAGGCGCTTCCGCGCTTCTCACTGTGATTTTCATAGTGAGAAGATGCCAGCGTCCATAGGAAAGCATTAAGAATGCTTTCCTGTGGACTGGCTGAATGCGCACGTGGCTCGTGCCGCGCATTCGCATTCAGCTGTTGATGGGGAAAGGAGGCGGAGAGTCCCCACCACAGAGGGAGCCCAGCGGTGGAGAAAAGGTAAATGTTTAACCCCTTCCTCCCCCTAGAGCCCGGCAGGAGGGGGACCCTAAGGGTAGGGAGCTGGAGACCCTATAGTGCCAAGAAAACGAGTATGTTTTCCTGGCACTATAGTGGCCCTTTAACTACAATCTCTTCACACTCAGAGACACAAGATCATCCATTCACACCTAATGAGCCGAACTCACACCCATAATAGGCCACTCTCACAACTATTTATCAATACACATTAATACACCAATAACCAAACAAGTCACACATACTCTTATGTCAGTCATATTGTTTTGAAAATACATACACAAACAGCCACACAGAGACATGAATATATGAACAAATGGTCAAAAACACTAAATTAGTTGCTCCTTCTTCATATCATCATCATGTCCCCATATGCCATTGCCCATTCCATGCATTTTCTTACCCCCACGTATTACCCATCCTTTCCATCTCCTTATCCTCATTATATTAACCCCTTCCCTCACATTTCATTAACCCTTTCCTTCCATTTCTTTAAGCTCTCATCTATCACCAGAAATGCACTATACGAGGACCGAGGGTGGTGGAGGTCACCTCGAGAGACACGTGGCAGCAGTTGCAACCCCTCCAGACAGAGCAGGCACCTACCTACTTGTGAGATAGACTGTTGCATGTTATTGCGCAATGAGTGTAGAGGGAGCTATTGCGATCTCTCTGAAATTATTGATCTGTATTTATTATATTGTTTGTATAGGGAAGCAGGGAGCTGTGTGTGTGTGTGTGTGTGTGTGTGTGTGACTGTAGTGAATATGAATTCTTATATACATGAATGTGCATGGGTATATGATCGTGAGTGGGTGCGCGTGATTCCCTAGACAAAAGTTGGGTTAGGGGGTGCATAGTGAGACACACAAAACAAAATCTTGATATTATCATTGTGACTTTAATTTTAAGTTAAAACTGATGTCAAAGAATGTGCAACCATTGATGTAATTAAAAATAATTGGATTTATTAGCTTCAAATTTTATATTCTGCAGCATACATTTTGAAAGCATTTTGAGAGACAGAGATATTGGAGAAGGATTAGGGAATTATGGTGTACAGGGAAGCAGAGGTTATATGAATCAGTAAATTAATGTTCTTTCTCCGGTCTCAGATGTTCCTTCATTAAGCTGGTTGAGATATTCACAATGTGTTTCACTGCTTAGTCACCCACAGGGCCACAAGGGCAGCAATAACAGTGACAAATGACATCTTGGCAGATACAGCCGAGTTACAGAGGTCGGTGGAACAGCAGTAAGTTGTTACCCCTCTTGCAGTTACATCACAAGCACTTTTTTCGACACACGACTGCACCGTTACTAGAAATAAACAAATAATCATGTAGAATTATGGTTGTGAAAGATTCATTCTTACAAACGCCATATTATATGGAAGAAAAATGTTTAACTTTTTCTTGATATGCCAAGCTCATTATCTCTTTACAGAATTATATCAAATGATTGTCTTAGCAGATCACTTAGATTTACCTAGGTGCAATTTAACTGTAATACCTTGAGATAAGTTAAAGGGACACTATAGTCACAAAGATAACTTTACATTAACGAAACAGTTTTGGTGTATAGATCATGCCTCTGAATTCTCACTGCTCAATTATCTGCCATTTAGGAGTTAAATCACTTTTGTTTCTGTTTTTACAGACCTACAAAAGCCTCCCCTGACTGTGACTGACACAGCCTGCATCAAAACAAAATGGTTTCATTTTCAATCAGATGTAACTCAAATAAAACCTTTTTCTCTCCTCTGCAGGGTATAGCACGTTATTAATAGAGCAGGAGATAAGACATTCTAAATGAAACTGAATTTGCAATAAAGGAAGTTTAAACATTAGATTACTTTTTACAGGAAGTGGTTAGGAAGGCTGTGCAAGTCACATGCAGGGAGGAGTGGCTAGGGCTGCATAGGGATTTAACTCCTAAATGGCTGCAGTGGCATGATCTATACACCAAAACTGCTTCATTAAGATAAAGTTGTTTTTGGGACTATAACGTCACTATAGCGTCCCTTTTAAAAAGTGAGGGTGTCTCGTTTAAGAGAAATATGTAGTCTAACCTTTATTATTGGTCTTTATTACAAGTAAGGCTTCATCACTATATTTATATAATTTTTCCTATGCGTGTAGTGTAGGGATCCTTGATTATAGAACAGCCATTAAGAGGGTCTGCCATCAGAACAGATTTCTCCCACCTTCATATAGTATTATAAAAACTATCATATCTTTGGCTATAAAGCATTTGTTCCATTTATTGTTTTCACTTCCTTATGGCACGTATGGATCTTACATCAGTGGCCAAAACAAACATTTACACT